TATGTATTTAAATAACTATTCAATTAGCTTAAATATGTATATTAAAAAAATCGTCTCATTCGAGAAAATAAGCAAATTACAAAATGAGCAAAACACTAATGGAACAAAGCAAATTAATTTTGGAAATTTCTTTAAGAAATGCTTTGAAAGAATAGTTTTATTATAGGATGGCTGAACGAAAGGTTCCAGAATTATATAACATCAAATAAAAATCAAATTAATATTTTTCTCTAAAAATAATTTAAATTAATTGTCATTCATATTTAAAATAATGAATTGCAACTGACATATTGCACAGGTTAAATGGAAAATTACAAATAGCAACAGTTATAAAGTACAATAAAAAAGTATACTATAAAATATGACATAAAAATTTTAAAATGGAGGAAAGCAAGGGAGGCAGCTCAAGGTATGGAACAAACTTTCGCCCTTTTAATTGGTTGTGGGTAATGTACCTATAGGCAAAATTTTTCATAAAAAATATTGTGTTCCTTGATTTGTCCAATATTTGTTAGAAGTACATGAGTTAAAGAGTACAAGATATTGTTCCATATAGTCAAAAACAATAACCTAGTTAAATAACAGATTGTTAAGAATAAAACTAAGAATTTTCACAACAATCATATGTAAGCAAAAATATAACCATTGTTTAATTTTAAAAAAAGTGTAAAGAACAGTTACAAAGTGATTACATTATAACTAGTGAGCATCACTAATTGAATATACTGTTTTAAACATGAAACAAAATATATAATATTACAATAATAAGTTAGCTCCAATTTTGGCTTTGATAATTAAAAATATGCTTTTGCATCAGGTATTTTTAGTAGAAAATAGGGAAATTATAACTAGTTTATGATTAAAATATGCACTTATTGCTTAAAATCCTGCATTTCTACTTTTTTTTTAAATTACATTTTTATTAACTTGCTTTTTTGTGTATGAGAGCTAAATTTTAAAATTCCAGTTTTAACCACCTTTGACCACTATTGTTTTAAAATAAAAGGACTCTTTATTGTGTCACACATTCTCTATTCATGAATCAAATTTGTTTCCAATTTGAACCATTATACAAGTTTATCGTCTAATATTGTTTAAAAATAAAAGGACTCATTATTGTGTCACACATTCTCTATTCACAAATTAAATTTGTTTCCAATTTCAACCACAGGGTTGCCACAGAAAAAAAATTAACAAAATAGTTACTTTTAGTAGCCTAAAGTATGAAAATAGTTGCCTAAATAAGAAAAATTTAGAAAAAAATAAGACTAAAATTTTATTAAATAACTTAATTGTCATATACCATGATCTATTTAGTCAAGTTGGTGGCAAATATGATAATTTTTATATAAACTATATATATATATATTGTAAAAAGTGATTACTCAAATTCGAAATTTATGCACATTGTAATATCAATTAAAAATTGGATTTTTTAAAATCATGGAGAATTTCATAACAATAAACGTTGAAATGGCGATCGAGAAACGAAATAGACTTACGATATAATCTGTGCAAATTTTAATGCATTAAGAAGTGATGACTCAAATTTGCAATTTAAATTTTTTATCTTTTAATGTTTCACTTATTTAATTTTTTAAAATTTTATTATTTTCATTTTACATTTTTTAAGAAAAGAAATTCAGCGTGTTCAGATGATTTCGCGGGCTGCAGGTTTTTAACCCAATTTATGCAAAAATACATTGCTAGGGGTACAGAAAAATCTCCTAACAGTCTCCTTTTCCTGAAAATAGTTGCTTTTTTAGCAAAAAAAGTTGCCCTAGTTGCCTCATGCTGAAAATAGTTGCATTTTAGTCGCCTGTGGCAACCCTGTAACCATTATACATTACAAGGTTATCGACTAATATTGTTTAAAAATAAAAGGACTTTTTATTGTGTCACATTCTCTATTCATGAATTAAATTTGAACCTTCATGATAAAAATTTGCTTCCAATTTGGACTGTTATACATTACAAGGTTATTGACCAATATTGTTTTAAAATAAAAGGACTTTTAACTATGTCACACATTCTCTATTCACAAATTACATTTGAACCTTCACAAATTAAATTTGCTTCCAATTTGAACCGTTATACATTTACAAGGTTATCGTGCAATATTGTTTGATAATAAAAGGATTTTTTTTTGTGTCACACATTTACTATTGCAATAAAATCATGTATAAATGTAGACGTATAAACTTAGAAAATATACTAATGCATAGATTTTATTTTAGAAAAAAAATAGATAAAACTTAGTCTCCCCACAGATAAATTTTTTGGCTAGGTGATACTAAATCCAGTAGATAAGTTAAAATAAGATGAATAATTTAACCACACCTAGATTTAATAGAAACTAATAAAAGTATAATTTGTTCCCCAACATATTTCAACTTTCTTTTTAATTAATTGGAGACAAAATTAAATCTTTAAGCTAATTTGTTATATTTTAAATTAAATATAACAGATGTATAGAAAAAAATATTTTGATTATTTTTGTTGAAATGAAAAAGTCTACAATTTTAAGTTTTCTAATTTTTGAGAGAATAAAATATACTTTTTCATTTTACCTACTTGATCCAAAAAAACATATACTACTTACAGGGTGCGTAGCGTTTGTAAAAAGTGCTTAAAGGTGCTTTTTTGGGGATTTCGTTTTTAAAAGCTTTTAAAGGTGCTTTTTTCAGCTGGTGTTTTTAAAAAGTGCTTTTTTTCCACAAATTTTTTTTTTTTTCTTCAGTGATATCTGGTGGATCCCATGCATTTCACGAAAAATGGGGTGTTTGCTACGTAATCATTCACGCGGACTTCATGTCGTACCCACGTTATGACTTGCGCATGAGCGCACACTTAAAACCGAAACCCGAGTGCTCCAATTCGGATCGAGAATATCAGATCCTTATGAAATTTTTTTCTTTTTAATTTAATTTTATTCTTATTTATTTTATTTTACTTCTAACACTTTTTTGACGTAGGGGGTAAGGGTACTTTTGTTCTGAGTTCAGGGTGAAGTTGAATTCACTCGGTGATGTG